TTGTCAGCGCCGCAAAGCTTCAACGCACCTGTCGCCGGTAGGTCTGCAACCTCTACCTTGCCCTGCCAGGCCCTTTGGGCGCGTTGGCATCGATTTGTGTGGGTCACTTCCACAAACGTCGGCTGGTAACCACTGGGCCATTGTCGCTGTGGACCACCTCACGCGATACGCCGAAACAGCCGCTCTCCCCTCGGCTACAGCGAGCGATGTCGCCTCCTTTCTGCTCCAACTATTCATTCTGCGACACGGTCCACCCCAGGAACTGCTCAGTGACCGAGGCCGCGTGTTCCTGTCTGAAGTCGTTGAAGCCATTCTCAAAGAGTGCAACGTTGTTCACCGCAAAACTGCTTACCACCCGCAGACGAATGGCCTCACTGAACGCTTCAACCGTACGCATCGGCGACATGCTCTCCAAGTACGTTGCCACCAATCACACAAATTGGGACTACATTCTACCCTTCGTCACTTACGCATATAATCCCACCCCTCAGAGCACTACTGGCTTTTCACCTTTCTTTTTATTATATGGAAGGCACCCGTCGCACACCGTCGACACGATACTTCCGTACAAGCCAGATCTGTCCGAGTGGGCGCCTAATTCTGCTATAGCCAAGCTTGCTGAAGAGTGTCGAGAGCTTGCAAAGACCTTTACTGTGCATCATCAAGAGCGGCAAAAAAGCATTCGCGCTGACACCATCACTACTGCATCCCCGTTCTTCCCTGGAGCGTTCGTCTGGCCCTCGATCCCTACCAATGCAACTGGCCTATCTTCAAATCTATTGCCCGAATACGAAGACCCATACAGTGTCATCAAATGCACTTCCCCTGTCAACTTTTGATTGAACCCATCGAACCATCTTCGGACATGTGCCGTCGAGGACGCGACATTGTTAACGTGGAGTGCCTCAAGGCCTACCATGACCCGCTCATTGTAACCAGCTGAAGAAGAAGAGCAGCTTGTGCAGAGAGTCGGTCCCCGCATTGACTGTCGCTGTCGTGCATCATCGACGAGTGTCTGCCAATAATGGTCTTAACAATATATATATATATATATATATATATATATATATATATATATATTATATATATATATATATATATATATATATATATATATATATATATATATATATATATATATATATATATATATATATATATATATATATATATATATATATATATATATATATATATATATATATATATATATATATATATATATATATATATATAAGGGTGTGACCTCGTCACCGATGTTGTAGACCTCGTAGACCCAGACCTCGTCACCGATGTTGTAAGCAACATCTGTCACGGCGTCTGTCATAGTGGCGCTTTTGATTTTCTTGTGCGTGGGTGGCTTTCTTGATCGCCTTAGTTCGGATCTTCTGACAGGCCACTTTGCGATCGTTGGCACGTGGAATTATAGTGGGAGCATACAGACTGAGGACCGCTTTCAGCTGTGGTAGTTTCCCATAAACAATTTCGTAGGACGTCTCCCCGGTAGACGTCTGCAGTGCCGTGTTAATCGCAAAAGCGGCTGACGGAAGGTGGACGTCCCAGTCGGCCTCTCCTTTTTTCCCTGCCTTCGTATATGGAGCGAGTCGTGCCTGGATGCTCTGGTTGGTTTTCTCAGTAAGGCCGTTTGCTTGAGGACGAAACGCGGATGCGAAGTGGTGCTGTACGCCTGCCGTGCAAAGGTACTTTTTCAGTTCCCTGCTACGAAACGTTGTAGCCCGATCAGATATTAACCTTTTTGGTAAGTCATGTCTCCATTCAAATCGGTGCTTGAGGAAGTCGATTAGGTGAGTGAATGCAAGAGATGGCACGGCCTCCACTTCCACGTATTTTGACAGGTAGTCTACTGCTACAATGACGTAAGAATTTCCCGCAGTGGTGGTGGGTAGAGGTCCCATGTAATCAATGCCAATCGTGTGAAAAATTGTTTCGGGTATCTGGATTGGTGTTAGTAATCCAGGTTGACACCTAGGCAGTCGCTTAAACGGCTGGCAAATTTTGCAACTGGCGACATAAGAACGGACACTACTTTGCATCTTCGGCCACCAAAAACGTTTTTGTAGTTTCTGGAGCGTGGCTCGTTGGCCGGCGTGTCCGCCTTCTGGGGAGTCATGAATGGCTCGTAATATTTATTACCTGTGGGATCGGGATCACCACGTGGTTGTTCTTCGGATCGGTCCGCTCACCAGTGACGCCGGTACAATGTGGCATTGCGCACCACAAAAGTTCTGTGATTTCCCTTGCCAGTGATAGATGCAATAATGGATGCCAAATCTTTATCCTCCTGTTGGGCTTGGGGTTTGCCTGGTTTGTTTCGTGCAGTCAAAAGCGTTCCATGAGAGTGCATCGGCGACGTTGTTTAGCCCCCCCCCCCCCCCCCGGCGCGGTGGCACACGTCAAAATCGTATTCTTGCAGCGTGATTATCCACCGGGCAAATTTGTGCTTAAGTTGCTGCTTGGAGAACATCCATGCTATAGCAGCATTATCAGTCACAACTGTGAATTTACGCCCGAAAAGATAATGTCGAAACTTATCATCGACGCTCCATACCACTGCAAGACATTCAAGCTCATCGGAGTGATAGTGGCGCTCGGTGTCTGAAAGTTTTCGGCTGACATAAGCGACCACGTGCTCCACGCCATCTGGATCACGCTGCACTAACACAGCTCCTAGGCCGACTTGGCTGGCATCAGTGTGCACTTCGGTGGACCAGTCTTCATTGAAGTGACTTAGTATGGGGCAACAAGTGAGTTTTTGTTTTATAGCTCGAAAAGGCTTTTCTTGTGAGACGCCCCATTCAAACCGCGCGTCTTTTTTTAAGAAGACCGCTCAAGGAGGCTGCGATCAAAGCGAAGTGAGTAATAAACCTTCGTAAATACAACGCCATACCCAGAAATGAATGAACCTGCTTCAAGCAGGTTGGTGTGGGATACTGCGACACAGCAGCTATTCGCTCCGGGAGTGACTGAATGCCGACAGGAGATATATTATGTCCCAGGTACGAAATCTTGGACACCCAAACTGGCATTTCTCTTGGTTCAAATGAAACCCTGCTGCATAGAGTCTCTGTAGTACTTCGTGCAAATTTCGAAGGTGTTCATCTCCATCCTGCTAATGACCGCCGCTCTTCGTTGCAATATATATATATGATATTATATATATATATAGATATATATATATATATATATATATATATATATTATATATATATATATATATATATATATATATATATATATATATATATATATATATATATATATAGTATATATATATAACATATATATATACATATACAGTAGATGATCAGAGTCTCTTCCGCTACCGTAATAAAAATAAACTTCGAGAATAGGGCAGTATAGGAAACAAAACAATAAAATATTCATTTAATCCTAACGGTCTCGGCTGGTGGTGGACCAGGCTTCTTCGGAGGATCTAAGCGATCCCCCGAAGAAAGCTGGTCCACAAGCCGAAACTGTTAGGATTAAATAAATATTTTATTGTTTTGTTTCCTACACTGCACTATTCTCGAAGTTTATAACTATATATATATATATATATATATATATATATATATATATATATATATATATATATATATATATATATATATATATATATAATTATGAATCACTGTTCATTAATGGCTAAATTTCACACACCATGATTATAAGGCTTTTGTTTTTATATTACAGGAAAGAAAATTAATATTCTGGAACCCATCATGTTCGTTTTTACACAAAAACGATCAAATATTAGGCTCGAAGCGCACACGGAGTTCAGTTTTGGCTGTGTTTATATCGAGCAAAAAAAAAAAAAAAAAAAAAAAAAAACGGAGGGCGGAAATTCATCGCAGTCACGGAGGCGTCCGCGCATTCTTTGTCGGATGATGATGATGATCACGTATGTGGTGTTCCCATTTATTGATGGAAGTGGGGCACCTTTCGTTTATTGTCCTGCCCAGAAAGATAACGCATTGAAGTAAAAAAGAAAAAAAAAAGTAAATTCACAACAGGCCCGCACTGAGCCGAATCAATCATTAGCCATGTGCAGCACATTGGTGTTACGTGAAGACGCGTTGTGTGCGATGTTCTTTGCCCTTTCTTTCCCACTAATCCGCGAAACGGGCAAGAACAAGTGGCGTCCACACGCGCATGTGTTATGTAGACGCTGCGTTTGAAACACGTGCTTGCAAATAGTTCAGCCACCATGGTGGAACAGTGGTGGTTAAGCGGCTCAGCTACTGTACCGATCACGGAGGAAGAAAAGGTACCTTTCCTTCCTCCGTGGTACCGACAATGGTACTGATCGCGGCTGCAGTGTTCTTCAAAGTAACATTTTTTGTGAGCATTTGCCAACGCACACCCATATCGCCCATATTTTTTTTTTTTTGAAATGCCGCGCAAGAATCCAAAACCGAAAGTTTATCAAAAACACACAAACCGTAATAAACAAGTAATTTGTGAAAAAATTGTAAAATAAAGCCACTAAATTTTATTATATTTTAAGTTAATATTTATAAAGTATGCGTTACAATTAAAGCTGATACCTTTGGTATATAGCGAAACTACCTAACATTACGAGTGGCCAACTTCAGCGTGTATGCGTTGCACATGGCGCGTTGCTACGAGCAGTTTCAGTTGTCGAGGAGTTTCCGAATTGTGACTTATTATTCGCGCTGGGCGCTCAGTGTGCGAAGCAAGATGTAGGCCCTATCGGCGCATCGTTCGTTCCTGCGAATGCGATGAGCGTAAAAATGCCCATTTAGTGGCGTGCTCGCAGCCGAACGGTGGCTGCTCGTTGTTCGTTTTTAGGGCCTTCTGTGTTCGTTTAGCATCTGTGTATACGTCGTGTACGGGCAAAGCGCGCGCTTTCCTCCCCGCTCGTGCCGCTGAGAGATGGATGACGATCGAAGGAAGGATCATAACAAAGGCGCCGTAAAGCACGGCACCCCTGACGACGACGGCTCGTTGAATCGCAGGATGTTCGCGCTTCGGCTGGTGACGCTGGACTACTACCTGGCTGCGCCGTCGGCCCCCCTGGACCCACTCGTCTCCAAGCTGGGCGGCTGGGAAGTTTGGCAGGTGCCCGTGTTGCGGATCTTCGGTGTGACGCCAGCAGGTGCGTTGTTTTTTTGTTTTATTTTTGTCGTGAGTGCCTCTTCATGGTTGTGGCCGTGTGCACGGACGCAGACACCGTACTCGATGGCGGAGTGGCTGCGTGGCCTCGCTCTTTTGTTGTTTGTCGCCCGCTGCTTGTGCGTTGCCGCGTCCGGACCCGACGTGGTTAAAAAAAAGTTGCCTCACTAGCGACAGCGTTCTGGCGACGTTATTCCCCGCTGTTATCTCGCGTACTGCACGTTACGACAAAGGCGAATGACTCGTATCAACGTCTTTGGGGAACTCGGAGCGGAGTTATTGGTAGATGTGGCACCTCATGCTCTGGTCTCCGTTTCCTATGTCAAGGCAGCGACGCGTTCCGAGAAATGAATGAGGTCTCTGTTAGTGGACTTCGAGGAGACGGCGAGGCTTGAAGCTCTCTTTTGTTAGGTGTTCGAAGGCGAGTGACCTGGATTGATATCGGATACTTGTGTAGGCACTGCGTGCCGCTGTTTCTGTAAATACAGATACGCTTACTGACTTCTCTGCCAGTGTTTTTCATGTGCGAATTTGTGAATAATCAAAGTTAAGTACCTACACTCTACGTTGAGTATGTATGGCAGCAGCGGTACTGATGTTGGAGTTACTGCAGGGGCTAGCTTAACGTCAAACTACTCATTACTCGTTACGTATGCATGAGTGAACAATTAAGATTAGTAGTTACTTGAAGGTTTTTTTTTTGTCTTTTGTGTGCGTGTGTGGCGATGCAGTGTACACGAAAGCTGTGTTTCTGTGGGCTGGTAAACAGTACCACGAAGCAGGTTGAATACCTGCATGCCTGTATGACAGGCGCAGTAATTGCGGCTTTGCTGAAATTCCCGAGCCACATAGGAGTGCGAGGTGACCTGCACTCCAAGTTGTATATGTAGGAACAAAAAAATAATGGAACGACATCTTTAAAGTCTCAGAGGCTTAGTCATTGTCTCCTAGACAATGCACTGATTGTATTAAAAAACAAAAGGTCAGAAAAGTACGAGAGGACTGTTTATAACTTGCAGTGTTTTGTGGCTTGATGAATGATGATGTAGCTTGTCAATATATTTAGGCAAAAGGGTAGTCACGTAGCCTAGGCAGTGTTGATAACAGTATTAAGCAGGCGTGCAACAACTGAAGGTGTCAAGTGTAATGTTTACTGATTAAAAAGGAACATGTTTCTCACTGTATTTTTTTTTTCCCACTTGTAGCAAAATATGCCAGCAATGGTGCTAGTTGGTGGGTGCATACACTGTCTGCTAATCAAATTTTGTTGATAGCTTTGTCCCAGTGAACCGACACAGTTGTCCAAGTGCATACTTGTGTTGTGCATCCTATGAAGTTTTTCTGTTCCAGTGCAACAGCTGCTGATGAACAGGGCTTATAAACTGACTGTCCTGTACAACAGCTCTTTCGTGGGACTATGTCAGATGAAGTTGTGGGCTACTCAGGTTATTTATATTTGAGCAGTCGCTTTTAAGCTCACAAAACATATTTTCCTCATACATTCGCAGGGCTGAGCTTCTGTTTGGGAGTTCTCGCGCCTTTGCGCTGCGAGTGCTATCAAAGGGCGGCAAAATGTGGCGGTGCTACTGATGCAGTTGTTTTATTACCATGGGCCGTTTTCAGTTGCAGATGAGCATCAGCAGGTTTTAAATCCTGTGGGGTGATTGATTCCTTTTTTGCGGCTTGTGCAAATGAGCCAATCATAATCAAGAAATCTGATCTGGTTTCGTCTGAAATCGAAGTTGAGGTAGTGTGACGCACATGTAAGCTTATTGTTCTGAGATGTAACGTGGTGCATGTTTTCTCCAACAGCAATGTTGAACAGCCAAGAACCAGTAAGATGTGCTATTACATTGTGTTTTGGGTCGTGGGGAGCAACAAAGGAGCTAGAAATGCTCGGAAACGAGGAAGTAATGTCCACACATGGGTTAGGATGTACTGAGGAAACTCAATCGGCTCATAATTTGCCGAACTACGCATTCAGTATTGTTTTAGCACGATTCATGGTAACTTGGTTCAAGTGCCTTTGAAGCATTTGATTAGGCTTGGCTTTGCATCTTGTTGAAGGCTTCTCTAAATCACTTAAATTTTATTTAGGACTTCTCGTCTCTTGCATTAAATGATGGCCCGGAGTGCTCTAAAGGCAACTCTGTTAAGTGCTATGATGCCTGAAAGATTTTCCACTAATGCTTCTGTAAGTGTAATTTTGAACTCTTTCAGGGGCTGCAGCAGCCTCACCTCGGAAATTTCAAGCACATTTGCTCACACAGTTCCTGCTATCGTTGAGACTAGCATGCATGGGCATCGGCAGGATTTTGTCTTGGGGGGGGGGGGGGGATGAAATTGTATTGGGGGGCATATCAGAAAGTTTGAGGGGGGCAGCTGCACCCTCTGCAGACCCCATGCTTGCACAGTGAGATGAAGCACACGTGGTGCTCAAACTTTTTTTAATAGCTTGTGTCATTACTGACAATATAGTTATACCAGTGGTGTCATTTCAAGGCTAAATTTAGTACCAGATGAGCGCATCTCAAACCTCATCTCTACGAAAAAAAAATGTGCTGTAGTTTAATGTGCGAGCATTATGGGGAATAGTTTCTACTATGTGGAAGATGCACGAGCTCCCACACCTTACTGCAGCAGCAAAGCATTAAAGACTAAGAATAGGAAAACCTTGGGCACCAACATGTGTGAGTGTGCTTTGAGCAGCCCAATCGAAAATTCTCGCAGGGCGTGAAAAAATGGCTATTGTGAGAAAAACAGTTCAGAGGAAGTAAGCAGTAGTGCCGTTCAAGGAAAAAGGCACACATGGGTAATGTACGCTGTCAATGAATAATGATTAATCAGAAATTGTGGGAGCAGCTTTGTTTTCAATGAGGCTGGGCCTCTCTAGATGGGGTCACAGATGTTTGCAGAAGTGCACTTTTTTTTTTGTGATCACATACAGGTGTGATTAAAAGAGTGGGGTGTCGTAGATCACAAAAAGGTGAATGGAGGTAAAACTCTGCTAGCCACTTGAGTGAGAGAATACATATAAAGCTTGGAATGATCTTCACAGCTAGGTTATTTGGAAGAAAAAAAAAAGAACACACAACTATGCATGCTACTCCACTGCTTTTCTATGTCATACTTATGAACGGTACTTATGTTGTGAGACACTTTTTTAAATTGAATCGTCTCTTAGGTTATGTGCAGTTCACAATATTAATGTTTTCATCAGTACAAGTCACTGGTCTAGTAGTTGAGGTCCTTGACGGCTGATCTGCAGGTCACTGGATCGAATCCCGACTGCGGTGGCCACATTTTTAATGAAGGCAAAAGTGCTGGAGGCCCTTGGACTTGAATTCAGGGGCTCGTTAAAGAACCCCAGGTGGACAAAGTTTTTGGAGCCCTCCACTACAGCATCTCTCATAATCATAACGTGGCTTTGGCACATTAAACCTCAGTGCTTAATATTTTCACCAGTGTTGTGCACTACTGTGTTGCAGGCTGCTCAAGCTTTATCTGCTTGCTTTGAAAGTACACCGGTGTCAGTAACTGGCCTCTTTATCTGACATAATAGCAAAGTGCCATGCCAAACAATGAACTGATAACATAACTAAGTTCTGGATTGGTTAAGTAGGTTTAAGTCATAGTATAACTGTGACTTAGTTGTGTGTTACCTTGTAGTGGAAGATTGCACTCAGAAGTTGCGGTACAGGATGGCATGGACTTTCTTGTATATTTAATTATGGCCTGGAGAGTCTTTAGGGCATGTTAGTTATGCATTGTAAAGACAGTTAGTAATTAAGCACTCCAAAATGACTTTTAATGGTTAGAAAGAAAGCATTGAGATAACAAAAGCAACTGTAAATTTCGTACTGCCTCGCATTCGCTATGCTTATTCATACTTTACAGGTTTTATGAAAAGGAATACAGCTATGGGTGCATCCAGTGCTTTTGTTTAGTGTGCTAGGAGTAGTAATGTTATACCTGGCATGATTATTATGGGATGTTGAGAAATTTCACTCTTTGTTGTTATGACACTAATGCTGATGACCAAAGGCACTACCAGTGATGCGATAGTGGTGCTAAACTGTGCCAATAGGTCGCACCTGTTACGTTTCTGCAGAAGACTCATAATTTGCGCCGAGCTTTCGTCAAGATGTCATATTTGCGGCCTTTCAAAGAAAAGCAATACGGCTAGCACTGAACGAAATTGTTTCATTGATCGAAATTTTGAGTTCATGTGCGCAATGTTTCCCAGCCGTCTACTATATGTGCATGCGCAGTTACAATTTATGAAAGGATGTGAGGTGCAGTCCATGTGACCAAGATATCCGAATGCCTTCCCAACTAAAGAAATAGTCGTGCTCATTTGCCTAAGGGCATGAACTCCTCCCTCTCAACCCCAGGAGCAGAACTATAGTGTACAAGAAGGGGGCAGTGGAAGGTTTCGTTGGTGGAAGTAGCGGCTAATCTTTAGCTTAGAATTTTCGCGGTAGGCTATCATGTTCTCAAATGTGCTCATCGATGTTGGGCTCATTGTTCGTCCAGGTCAGTGCAGAGTGTGTGCCTGTTAGTGTGGGCATGTGTGAATATTTTTTCTCGAAAATTACAAATAGATTGCATGGAATATTTGGTTGGCTTGCATCTTCATACAGTAACTGAAGCGTAGGAGAAATCTTTTAATTAAAATGTGAACTTTATTAAGGAGAAATGTGAGGTTATTGACAGTCACAGGTTAGGAGAAAAAGTTAGGTTGTGCGCAAAAACAAACAAATGAAATGTAGTTACATTATTTCATCTTCTGAAATTTTATAAACAAACATGCATTCATGGGTCTGTGTATACATTTCACTAAGTGTGATACAACTTCCCCATATTAGTAACAAATACTTATGTTTGCAAATGTGAGTCTGGCAACATGCCCCAAAGTAGCCGATTTGCTGCTCTGAGATTGGGTTTTATCTGCTCCAGAAGCTGCGCTGAAATTGCTTCAAC